GAAGGCTGAGGCGGAAGGATCGCCGGAGCCCAGCAGGTCGAGGCTGCGGTGGCTGGGAATATGCCACGGCACTCCATTCTGGGTGACAAAGTGAGACTCCAATTCAAAAAGAAAAAAAAATTAGAGTGAGCCGAACAGTGCTCAAGCCTGTAATCCTAGCACTTTGGGAGTTTGAGGGAGGTGGATTGCTTGAGCCCAGGAGTTTGACACCAGCCTGGGCAACATAGCGATATCTCTACAAAAAATTAAATTTAAAAAAATTAGCCAGGTGTCGTGGCACGCGCCTGTAGTCCCAGCTACTCCACAGGCTGAGGTGGAAGGACTACCTGAGCCTAGGAGGTCGAGGGTACTGTGAGCCAGGATCGTGCTACTGCACTACAGCCTGGATGACAGTGAGACCTCAACTGAAAAAAAATCAGAGTGAACAATTTTCCCCCCAATGAGACTGTCCACCCAGACAAGCACCTGACGAGCACACTGGCCCTTTCCTGCCTCTCAGAAGCATTCTGTAGGGTCACATGCAGGCAAAGCACTGATCTCACCATTCAGTAAATGTTCCCTTTGGTTGTGCCTCTATTGCTGCAGTGACTGCCCTTTCCCCATCATCCTGTAAGTCCCTGGCACACCCCAGGGAGGATCCATTTCATGAGCTGAATGAGGTTCTGGGAAAGCCCTGGAGAGAACAGGCTTGAACTGGGTTTTGCCAGAATGCAGGAGGAGCATTCCAAGTAGACCATAGAGGGCCTGGTACAGCAAGGGGCCTGCGTTCCCAACATTTGTTTGTTAGCATAGCTTAATCAAGGCATACTTGATGCACAACACTCTGAAAATACACACTCTGATAAGCTCTGATACACATATATACCCATACAACTTTCACCATAATAAAAATTAAGAACATCATCTCTATCATTCCCCATAGATCTCACTGTCACCCAGCCTGTAATGCAGTGGCACAATCATAGCTTACTGTAGGCAGCCTCAACCTCCTGGGCTCAAGCGATCCTCTCTCCTCAGTTTCCTGAGTAGCTGGGACTACAGACATGTGCCACCACACCTGGCTAATTTTTCTATTTTTTGGTACAGAGAAGGCCTCACTTTATTGCCCAGGTTGGTCCAGAACTCCTAGGCTCAAGTGATCCTCCCACTTTGGTCTCCCAAAGTGCTGGGATTACAGGCATGAACCACCACACTGAGCTTACTTTTTTAAAAAAATGGTTTCTCTCTCTTTTTTTTTTTTTTG